TCTGCATTTCGAGGCTCACAAAACGCTGCGCCTGCCACGAAATCTGCGCGTCAAGATTCACATCAAGCCTTGCCACTGCGTTTTGCAACAGAAGCAGCTCCAAAAACAACCTCAAGACGCCAAAGCGCAGATTTCGCGCGAGACTTCCCCCAAATTCGGAACGAGAGCCACATGCGCCACATATGCAAAGTTCACGATTAACTGCGCCTGCTACCGAAATCTGCGCGTCGAAGTACTACACATCGAAGTAAGACAGCTCCGATCTCCTGCGCCTGCCACAATCAAGTCAACTTGAGACCAACAAAACTCTAGGGGTCCCTCGTGCCCGCCGCGAAAAAAGTCACCGAGGTATGGTAAATAGCAGCGATGAGCGCACGAATGTGAGCAGCCTCGAGCACTTGGATTGCAGGGAAGTGACAGCATGATTGGTTGGAGCATTTCAAGTGGACAGTTTCACTATCAGAGCACTCTGAATTGTGTGTCTATCAGGCTGCTGTCTGTGTGAATTGAGTCTTGCCAAAGCTTTCAGTGAGCTGCGTTGCGATGCTTTTGTACAGCATCAGCCGCTCTCCTTTGGAGAGTGCCGCCCCTGCATGTAGAGCTTGATTCCAGATCGCAAGGGCTCAATGTAATCCTCAGGCTTGGAGACTGGTACATGAATCCGATCGCGTTTTGACACAGTCCACGCGGCTCCTCACGCAACAGCATGAAGTGGGTTTGGATGTAGTCCACGCATTTTTCATAAGTCTGCATGTTCTCCTGAAGAACACAATGCTTAACTGTTGCCTGTCAAACATCTAGAATTACAGAAGACAGCCTCATCGGATCATGGCACTGAACACAATCAAATTAATTCAAGTTTACAACACCCGAGAGCCAACTTGCCGACTGAAATCCTGCACTTCGAAGGCACAATGTCCAATCCTGAGGGAATCAGGAACATCGTGTAATAAAAGGCAGTAGACTGAGGTTAATCTTCAACCACTCGACGTTCCAATTCATCTATGTGATCAGCAGCAGTGCTGAAGCACAGGCATTTCCGCAGAGGTGGGCAGAATAGGCATTTCCTGCGTTGCCAAATCAGTTCTGTGCTCCAGAAAACAGTGGCAAGTGAGCCGGGTAAGGAATCGAAGCCACAATGCCGTGTCGTTTGCAAACAGTTCTGTGATGTTTTCAAGCTACTGCTAAAACCACAAATAATACACTCATGCGTCATCATGCATCTCTGAACCGTGACTGCTAGCAAACAGGCACTCTCTCTCACTCTCTCCCAATATCTTGACAATGGGCTGATTCTTGATTTCAAAAAGACCTGATCTGACATGCTGGTTAAGCGTTCATTCGAGGTTGTGAGAGCCTACTTAGACTCAAACAACCAAACCAAATGTTTTCAAGAATGACCAAATTAGCCTGCAGGAGAACAACGTAGCAAAGCAGTGTAGTCCGCAATCGCTGCTACGCAAAACAGTTGGTATCTTCGAGCACCTTTTGCTGCTGCAATGTTGCTTAGCTTTGACTATTGCAAACACATCAGCATCAGCCTGCCATGGACTCATCGCCAGGCCGGCAGGCTAGTCTCGTGTCTATGTAACACAAACATGTCCATACATCAGTACATTTCTTTGGCACCTTGACCAACAAAAATCTAATTCCAAAGATTTCCAAAGCACATGTTCCTTGTTTCAGCTGCTGGCATCATTGCTGTGGCTTAGGATGTGGCTTGGTGTTCGGGGTGGGCTGGCAGAATAGCGTTCCCAGTGATGTTTCACTCCCGAACTTTTCCAAGTTGCCTGGACTTTTCCACAAACGCCCACGCCCTCCCAGGTGCTTTGCTCAAGCCGTTTTACATCCCGCTGAAATGACACATAAATTAACTAAACATATATATATATATACACACATATTATATATATATGTAAGCAATATTAAGCAATGCTACACCTACAGGTGCCGATCCCACTGCGTTATCACGCAAGTACTCCAAAAAGATCGCAAGCCGTGGAGAGCGTACAGATTTTGCTTGTGCGCCGTGGATATGACACCCTTTAGGGCATCGGGCTTCGGTTGGTTGGTCCTCCATCTCTCTACGTTGGGTTGTTGGGAACCAATACAGGTTGAACCGGTTGAACCTACGCCGGCGGTCCTCCTGCAGGCCTGAGGTTCATACTGCCATTGTTCTCGAGATGGTGAGCGGAACGTTCTTGAGCCAATGGAATGTACAAACCAGTGTTGGTATATCTGTAGAGATGTCACAAGCAACGATTGCGTATACACCTACTGGGTGGTCTAGAGACTGTCTCCTTTAAGCCTCCCACAGCAGGAGTACGGCCAGTTGCCACCGTTTAGCTCATAACCTTTGCTTGCCAGTCAGATTGGATTTAACCACTATGTGCTTGCTCAAGGTTGGGACGACTCCCGGCTCCCTCGCCTTAAAAATATGTTTTGCTGCTTTGCTGTTTGTTTTTGATCTGAAGAACGGATCAGTGATACAAGTCACGCTTTAGCCACGCTTCCGACTGCGTTACACACAGGCCCTACTGCACTCGCCTTTCTACGGCGTGCGGATCGCTGCCCAAGATCGAGACCCGAGGCCTACCGCTGGTTCAAGGAGACGAGTGGGTTTCTTTCACTTGAGCGGCAACTTTTTTACTGGTACCTTTTTTGTTGTGTGTTGCCCTCGGATCGCGTAATCTTCTTCCAAGTCGATCCCTTTTATCTACACTCTCTACAGGACATTGTCGTTGTCCGATTTTTGGTGGAACATGTGTCAGTAGTTTTGGAACAATCCCTGCCCGCTGTTGCTTTCTTCTTTGCGCGCGCTCGGGAAAAGATGCGTACGAACTGAAAGCCTCATGCCACTCGCAAGCCCAGGCAAAAAGTTGCCTAAGAGCATGTCAGCGGTCTGACCATCCTGAAGCGTCGAGTTCAAGTGCTAAGTCAGGACCTGAGACCTTAAAGTTCCAGCTAAGTCTGAAAGCAAAGGTGCGTGACTGCCGTGAGTGAACCGCTGCAAAGGCCAGACATTGTTCTAGTTAGGAACGGGATCAAGTAGGGAATAAATTTCAATTCTGAAGGCACACAGTTGGATGTCCCCAACTGTATCACAGGTGACTGATGAGTATCTTTGTTAGGATCGGTCTCATCAGCACCCCCGGCGCCCCCAGCAAGTTCTTCCCAAATACCAAACGTTAACCTAGGAGTCCAAGGTGCACACACACACATGCAGAGTTACTCCAAACTATATGGTCCGTGTGATATGCTTTGAAGGTGAAGAATGTCTCTGGGCACGTGACCAAAGTCACTGCAAAGGCGGCGCTTCGGGTGGGCGAAAGAAGTTCTTTTGATACTTCTGAGACTAAAAGACTCCCCTCTGAGCGACAACTTGGGCACCTTGCTCTGAACCTAGTCACTGTAAAGTGGCCCCTGACTGTATTGCTTTTCAGTCTGACTTTACATGGACTCCGGGGGTGGGGTTGGGGGGGCGATGACTGCGTTCGTTATATATGGAATGTAAGCCTGGGAGGCGGTGTCTTTGTTAGTTGGACATGACCATGACCCACAGAAGCATGTCTGTAGCCTTTGCGGCTGGACACAGCACAGCTCCATGAGAGAGTTGCGTCCAGAAAGTTTAGCTTCTCTTTGTTGAGGAGACGTTCTCGCACAGAACATTGATTTTCGCTTCCCAAACTTTTGAATTCGCTTTCCTTAGGTTCTGTGAGAACGTCTGTGCGCAAAACTCGTTTCAGGACAGGTGACTTGAGTGCTTGGACATTGTTGTGGACCCGGATCGTGGGCCCCTCGCCTTTGCATGCTCACAGCATTCAAAAATTATCCCGGCAAGAGACCCCAAACAGTGTGTGTGAGGTCTGTAAGCAGAAGTCTAGAGATCTAGACGCATTGGGGTCCAGAGAGGTGAAGGTGGGTGTGAGTGAGTGTGGGTGAGGGGGAGCGTGAGTGTGAGCGAGAGTGGGAGAGTGAGTGAGTGCGAGTGTGAGTGAGAGTGAGTGTGGGTGAGAGTGAGAGTGAGTGTGAGTGTAAGTGAGCGTGAGTGAGAGTGAAGGTAGGTGTTAGTGAGTGTGGGTGAGAGTGAGAGTGAGAGTGAGAGTGAGAGCGAGAGTGAGTGCGAGTGAGAGTGGGAGAGTGGGTGTGAGTGAGTGCGAGTGCGAGTGAAAGTGGGAGTGAGAGTGTGAGGGAGTGTGAGTGTGAGTGAGAGCGGGAGACTGAGTGAGAGTGAGTGTGAGTGAGAGTGAGTGTGGGTGATCAGAGTGAGTGTGAGTGAGAGTGAGAGTGAGTGTGAGTGAGACTGAAGGTGGGTTGGGACAGTGAGTGAGTGTGAGGAGAGTGAGAGTGAGAGTGAGAATGAGAGTGAGAGTGAGAGAGTGAGAGTGAGAGAGTGAGAGAGTGAGAGTGAGAGTGAGAGTGAGAGTGAGAGTGAGTGAGTGTGAGTGAGAGTGAAGGTGGGTGCGAGTGAGGGCGCTGGAATGAGGTCGCAGTGCTCATAATGATCAGCGTTTGGCTGTTTGTTGGCCGCGGAAGTGATGCTGGCGGCGGGGGATTGGGTGCGTATACGGTTGTAGGACTGTGGCAGGGCGTGGATGTCTGTTTGCGCAGGCGTGTTAAGAGTGAGAGGGGGTGTGATGTGGGCTTGTGGTGTTTGGGTGAAAGCAATGGTGCCCCCCCACTCGATGTGTGCCGGCCCAGAGGGCTAGTTCGGTCTGTTGTGAAATGTGAAAGCGGCGTGGCGGCGGTGTGGTGGCGGTGAGGGTGGAGGCGTGGTTTGAGTGGCGCTGTGGAGTGTGACAATGGCGTTCGGGAGTGGTGGTGACGGTGATGGGTTGTCCCGGGGCCAAAGTGCTGGCAAGTGGAAAAATGTGGTGGATGTGTGGTTCGGTGGGTGGGTGTTGATGTCGATTGTTGGGTCGTGGAGAAAAGCACTCGGGCGGAAGTGCCCGATGCTTTCGACCAGGTTGAGTGCGCGACGCACTTGGGTCTCGGCCATGTTCATGTGGGTGTGGTAGCGGTCAATGAGTTGGCTGACTGGTTGGGGCAACTGTTCTTGGAAAGGGTCGTGCCAGAATGGGGTCTCTTGAAGGGAGGAAAAGTTGCGAAGTATGCCGGTCAGTTGAAAACGATGTACACTCGCATCGGTCAGGATGGCCAAAAGAGACCCGGGCCTGTGGGCGTAAGCCCAAGCCCAGAAGCTTGTATCGATGCCCTCTTCGGGTGGTGGTGGACCACTCATGGCGAAATGGAAGTGGGCGAGAGAGTGGACAAGCTGGTCAGCAAATGGCTGCGGATAGAGGTGATAATCAAAGAACATGTTCCATAAGAGAGGCTGCTAGTAAGAGAAAAGGTTCAGAGAAGAGAAACCGAGGAACATGGAAATCTTGACCTGTTTTGTCCGCAAGGAGAAATGCGGCTGTTTTGTAATGGGTGAAACACTAGCCGGTGGCCTGGTGGCCTCAGCAACTCGTTATCCGCCAGTGTGGTCGTCTGGGCTTCGTTGAGCGCTGCTGTGGGAAGAGGTGGAAGAGGTGGGAACAAAGGTTGCGGTGCTGGGTGAGTGGGCGGGGGGAAGTAGAATGGATCGAAGCTGGTGGTGGTGCAAGAAACTGTGGCGGTGGAGTCGCGAGTGGTAATGGGTGTGGTTGTGGTTGTGGCTGTGTGAGAAGTGATGTTGGAGGTGGCTGTGCAGGAGCCGTGGAACGGGTCCAGATAATGGCATAGCTCGGTGGAGAGCTTGTATGGCAGTGGCTTGCCATTGCATTGTGGACGGGGTACCGGGATCTCAAGTCCGCTGTGTTGCTCTGTGGGTTGAGCAGGAGTTGTGGAGGGTGGTGCAGGCGGAGTTGGTGTGGTAGTTTGGAGGCGTAGGGCGGTTGGCCAGGGCGTGCTTCTTTAAAATTGGAACGTTTGGCGAAGAATGAGTGGGTCTCGGATGCTGCTGTGGTGGGGTCCATAATGGCATCGGAGGGGGCTGAGGTGGAAGCTGTCCACAAATGTTGGTGTAAGGAGCCTCGGTGTCCGCGGGCTGTAGGAGTGGTGGTGGTGGTGGTTGGAGTGGCTTCGTGTGGTGAGATGTGGGCACTGTGGTTGTGTGGAGGTGACGGAAGAAGAGAGGGTTGTCTGTGGATGTGGCCGGAGAGCGACGATCTCGAGATCGAGAGCGTGCACGGTGTGTGGGGTTGGCGGTTAGCATGCAGTGGTGGTATTGGATGAGTTATGTTGCTGTGGGAGGGTAGGAGGAGGATGTGGAGGGCGAAGGAGATGTGGAGGGGAAGTTGCTGGTGTGTGGTGGGAAAGTGGCCGTTGGGTCCATCCGATAGTGGCCAGGAGAACCTGGCGAGCCGGGTTAGAATTGCAAGAGGCGGCGACCCTGTGTGATGTCGAGTAGCAAAGGTGCTAAGCGGTGTAAGGCATTCCTGAATTGAACAAAGAGACGAAAAGCTTTGTGACCAGTAAAGGAGCTTTGGCTAGGGATGGGACCAAGAACAAGAGGATGGTTGAGGATCGTACTGATGAGGGTCTGTAACAAGCGTCCAATGCAAGAGGAGGAGTTCCGGCTGATGTGTGACCGATGGTGCCATGTATGGCATTGGGTTGCCGGGTAGGTAATGAGAGGTAGGGCCCGGCAAAGGAGGTGTCTGTTGTTTCCGGTGTGGGGGATGGTCGGCTGCTGCATCAGGGCTTTCGTTCTCTCCCATGTCTGACCGTTCCCGTTCTTCGAGGGCCCGCAGGGTGGCCATCAAGCGCTGGTCAAAGGTGGACATCAATACATAGAAACTCAGCAAACAAGCTGCGGTGGAAAAGAGTGCATCAATGACACTGTTCGCTGCTTGGCAATGCGTCACTGGATTAACAAAAAGAACTCGGAAGAGCTTGCATGACTGTATCTGAGAAATCACAGAGTCAAAGAGTCAAAGTTTCAAGCATGAAAACTCCGCGTGAAAGGAAGGGGGAAGTGAAAAATGTCTGTTCCGACTGACATGGGTAAATAAATCAGAAAATCTGCGACTGAAAAAGACTGTCAAAGCAGCTGGGTGGCCTTGAAACGCACCGAACAAACCAAGAATTGGCTAGTCTGTGCACTAGTGCAGTGTTACAGTGGGGTGTCAAAGCATCTTTTCTTCTGATGGCACGCCGATGGGACTGGGGTGAAACATTCGATCTGGTTCCTGGAAGCAAGCTGTGATCAGTTGGATTCAAGATCTAGTCACAGTTCCAGCCCACGAGTTCAGCGGGGACTTCGTCACTGACTGCAGTGGAGGCGGCCGGCCGCGCGTCAGCAGCAGGATCGGCAGCAGAGGTGGTAGAAGTTGGAGAGAGGACGAGGAGGTGGTGTGGGGAGTGCTGGGAACGCGCGGTGAAGGTCTGGGTCCACTTGACGAGTGTGAATCAGGTAAAGAGTGTCTGTTGCTGTCTGTTGCTGTCTGCAGGGCTTGATGGAGCTGCGTCAATGCGACCGTCGTTTGGCGCAAGAGTGCAGGAACATCAGGGTAGTTTGCCATCGGTGTCAGGTAGGCAAGGGATCGGCAGCAGCGCCAGCGCCGAAAACCATGAAGCTGGCAGTCAACAGGCACAGTGCGAAGACGTGCAGGTTGAATTACGAAGCAAATGAATTCCATCGAGCCACGATTGTAGTTAGGTGCAAGTCCAAAGAGAAAAATCAACGCACAAAACCCGAAAAACATCCCAAGAACACATGAACGTGGCTGAAATCTGCAAAGAACATGAGCGCGCGTCCATGCATCGAGGCTGAATTAGGCCTTCAGGGAGCAGCATTCGCAGCGGCTTTTTTCATAGAGCGGTTGGTATGTGTGGTGAGACTGAAAGGATGGGAAAGTGAGAAAGTGAGAATGTGTGGTTGTTGTGGATGTTGGGAAGGAGGTTAGAGGTCTGGTGGTGTGGCATTGGCAGACCACGCGAGTCCGCGTACAATGGCGTTGTGGGGATGTATCACCCAACACCTGCCGTTGTGATGGAACACGGCGCCGTGACCATCCTTGATGAGGGCGGCTGCCCGTTCTTCTCCGCCGTAGGTAATCTTGGTGCCAGCGCCCCATGCTAGGAGTGAATGCGGGCAAGCTCGCTGTTGTCGTGGGGGAACTGTTGGGTGATGCGCACTCCCTGCGCGAAGAATCCTGTGTTGTGTTCAAAATGCAGGACGCTGGGTAGGAATTTCCCCTGTTGGAGAATGCTGGTGATGTTTCCTACCGGACCAGTATGGCCAGCGTTGATGTGCACGATTTCAGGAGAAGTCTTGGTGGCACGAGTGGGATGTGGTGGAAAGCGGCGGTGTGCTTTTTGGGAAAGAGTGGGAATGGAAATGTGGTTGAAGCGGTAAACATCATACTGCTCGGAAACGTTGTTCCATTCGATGTGAGTAAACTGGCGGTAGTCGCGCACGTCAGCGTAAGTGAGGCCGCTGTCCAAAAGGAGGCGTGCAACATAGGAGTGTTGTGGCTTGTTGGGAGTATCGAATTGGTCGGCACGGTAGTCCAGCCAAATCTCGAGTTGTTCTTGCGCAGGCTTGTCAGTGAAGTGAGGTGGAGCTTTCCAAGGATTGAGCGCGCGACGAACACGGGGAAAGTTTGGATAGGTGTTGTGTGGAGCAGAGGGCCTGGCAGGGATGGTTGTGTTGGTGGAGCGCTTGCTGAAATCCGCATTGGGGACAAGAGTGACGGGGGGGTGATGTGGAGGGGATCGACTGCGTGAAGGAGAAGAGTAGGAGTAGCTGTAAGAAGTGGAGTGATGTCGTCTGGAAGCTGTATAGGTTTGAGAGCTGTGGCGGGATCCGCGGGTGGAGTGTCTGCCCGAACGACCTCTGCGGCTTGGGTCGCCGACGCCCATGGTGCCGGTGTCGCGATGGTGGTGATGCGATGCTTTCGCGGGCGGAGTGGTTGCTGGATGGTTGGTGTCTGTAGTGGCTGAATGTGTGGGAGCTGCAGGTGAAGAAGGTGGTGGTTGTGGGTTGTCTGGAGGTGCTGGTGTGGATGGATCGGTGGCAGCAAGTGAGTCCGGGGCAGTAGAGCCTGCCTGAGCTACCGTCGGTGTGGTTGTGGCGACAGCAGCTGGTGTGGGGAGTGCTGGAGTTGTTGGCTCTGGTAGTGGCCCTTCGAATCTGGAGATGTGACCGCAGGAAAAGCGGAGAAAGGCTGCTGTTGCCAAACGCCCTGCTGTGGATCCCAGGAAATGGTGGCTCTGAGTTGATGAGGGATGGTAATGGCTGTGGAGGCGCAGTAAAGGGAGGCGGGTGGCAGGGTTCTGCCATCGGTGCTGTGACATGGTAGTGGGACTGAGGGTGTGAAGTGGGCCATGCCGGTGGTAGTAGTGTAGGTGTTGGAGGGTAATGGGTAGGCTGTGGTGGTAATGGATGTGGTGTAGGCATCGTCGGCGCCGGGTGGTGTGGTGGAGGTTGTGGCGCATAAGGAAACGGCCATGGAAATTGCATTTCGTGAAACAGTGTCCAAGTCGTCTGCAAGACACCAAGCAAGAAGCAGCTGCTGAAAATGGCGATCGCGGCGGCGCAGGCAGCTGCAGAAGTAGAGATATTGAAAGGTGGAATAATACTCAAAGTAAAACTCGAATTCAAAGCTACATGTAGGTGAGGAAAGTAAGTGGTAGAGAAAGAGTTGAAGTGGTGTGTCATAACATGATTAAGAACTCGATCCGGTACAATCCTGAGATTGAAAGCTGGCCGCGTCACGTGAACATGCAAACATGAACGTGGAGCAAATTCAGATTCTGCGGGAGAAAACCGTGGAGCCCGGCGGCTTGAATTTTGGGAATACGGTGGTGAAACGAGAATCCGTGAAGATAATCCAACGAGCGCAGAACGCGAAGAAATCTGTTAGTGATATTCCAGCATGAGACCGCGCCCCAGTGACGGGGATCACACCCTGCACGGACGGCAGAGCGGCACACACTCTGACATTGGTTTTCAGTTAGCTCAGTTCCCAGGTCGAAAAGGGCGAGGGAAACGCAAGGTGAAAGGGTCAGCGCACTTGTATTGTTTGAACAATCTGTTGACATGTCTGAGGTGGCGAGCGTCAGCGCAATTCAGCTGCAAGAAACGTGACAAGGGAAAGGTTTAAGGGAGGCATCACGCAAACTACCATGAATCAAACCGTGGAAAAGTAGGGGTGACAGCTTGTGAACAATACGTCGATTTGGCGCCCCAAATCGGTTTCACAGATGCAACACTGGCGTCTTCGTTGGTGCCAGTCCAGTGTGCATCTCTGGCACCCCCTGCTAGAAGAAAACGAGGAAGACTCTTAGGTACAGAGTGGGGCACACACTGTTTTCTGCAAGCGCTGCAAAACAGATACATATATATATATAGCGTAAAAAAGTCCACGTTCGCTGCACCTCAAGAACGCAAAACATAAAGCTATGAGAATTACCCGTGGAATTGACATTGGCTTGTTCAACGGACTTCCAGCTTGTACAACTCCAAAACACACACACATCACGACGCAATTGGCGGCAGACATGCTGAATTCTTAAAGGCATTTACTCTACAGCAATCAACGAGACGAAGGAACGCGTTGCAGCAACAAAACAAAACAGGACGAACTTACCCCCAAACTTGAAATCTTTCCATGTCCTGATAGTGGCTTGCTTCAAGAATTTCAGCACAGTCTTCAGCAACTGTTCTCTGCTTCTTTGGTGCTTTTGCACCCAACACCTTCCAATCCAAAACTTGGGAAAGTTCAATTTCCAAATCAACTTAAGCTCCAAACTCGATCCAAGGATACCTGCGACGAAGCGCTTCAAAAATCGAAGGCATCGCACAAAACGGCGCAAATGGACACATTTTGTATCTCATTTTCAAAAGTTTAGGCAGCACTGCTGCGGCAGCACCTCCTCAGGAAAGTGCTTGGCCAGGCATTTCAGCATGCTAGTAACATCATCGGAGAGGCCTGTAGCAAAAAACAGCCATTGCGCAAACAAGGAACACATGGGGAAACACAAGAGTCTTACAAGAGGCGTTTAACAGGAATCACTGTTGACACCTGAAAAGTGATGCACCTTAGCCTTAAGGGACCCTGCAAACCTGCACTAACAATGTGAGCGGCGTCTGGAAACAGGGAACTCATTGTCCGGTAGTTGAAGCTCCGCTGCGCCTTTTCGGGCTACGGTTGAGCCACCACGAACACTGTTCTCCCAGGCCTGCGTGCGCACAACAAATCCACTACAGCAAGCCAGCTTGAAAAGGGCACACAGAAACAACTGATGGTCATGGAGCGCATCGATTTTTATCCACAAAACACAAGCCGCAGTGGAACCACACAGAAGCTTGCTACTTCATGCACTTGCAAAGCATTGTTGATGTTCCAAGTGCAGTGGCTGCAAAAGCACGGTTGAAGCTCGCGCACGTGGAAGGTCCTTGGTTCGGCTTGTCCGGAGTACCGCCGACCCTGGCAGCGCCCGGACACTGCAGGGTGGAGCCCTCACCTTTGCCCAGCCCCAGCCGCTCTTGACTACATGGGCTCTGGCGGTGGGCTTGCAAACCTTTTTCTAGTGGGCTTCGACGCTGCCATCTGGGACCCGCTCCGACCGCGTGCGCGCGCAAAGCAAAATGAGCCAAAGGTGTGGCGAAGCACGCTTTCCGCCTTCCACGCCCCGCTTGCAAGCCTTAAAGCTGCCGTGGGGCCCTCTCCTGCCTCATGTGCGCGCTGTGGTGAAGCACAATTTCTACACCTTTGGCCGTGGGCTTGAACTGTTTTAAGTGAGTTTCGAAGCTGCCGTCTGGGGCCTTCTCCGGCCGCATTTTGCGTGCAAAGCAGCATGGTGGCGAACGCCTTCGGCTTGAGCCGCGGCGATCACAGAAGCGCAACCCATCTGTCCTGACTATGTCTGGACCTACTAAGCTTCCCCTTGTTGGGTCGAATGCGCACGAGCACTGCGACCATGCTCACCCCCCAGAACCCAAAATCTTGACTTCTCACCAACTGCTGAAAGAGTCACGCACCTGCTAATCTCTAGGATGGTATCTGTTCGCCTTGGAGCCCCCAGCCCTCCTTGCCACCAACCCCCCCTTTGTTGGAGGGGTCGGCGGCACTGATGTTCAAAATGTCGGTTTGCGGCCGACATTTCTAGCATCACCTGGGCTTATATGGCTTCTTTAAAAATCAGGACTTTGTAGTGGAAAACGCTGAGGAACACTGCATTTTTGGCATTTGCTAGCCTAAGCGCAAATAGCTTAAGCCTAGAAAGTGCTCAGAATATTCAAAAGTACAAATTTCTCAACGTTTTCCACTACAAAGTCCTGATGTTTGACGAAGCCGCGCGCGTGCGCGCTCTCGTGTGCGTGCGTGTGCGTTCGTGTGCGTTCTTTTGCGCGTGCGCGGGCGGGTGCGGGTGTGGGGGTGCATGTGCATACGTGTGTCTGAAGTTGAGGTTGCCAGGCTTTTTCCATCAGACCCTCGTGCGCACACCTGTGTGGGAGTGTGTATGCGCAGGCGTCAGGAGCTGTGCTAATCGTCGATTTTGCTGTGCAAACAGCCTGCAGATACGCGCAGTGCTCCCAAGGGCGTCGCCGGTTGGCGGAGCCTGTCCGTAAGCAGGTTGCGGTTTGCAACAAGAATGGAGGCCAGGTGGTCAGGTGCAGCAAGGTTGGAGTGGGTCTGAAGGAATACAATGCACTTCTTGAAAGGATCACCAATGCCAATGATTACATACATGAACACTTGCACGATCTGGAACTTGCTGGGTCAGCCAATCTTCCGACGCAGCTAGCATTTGATACATCTTAGCCAAGTGAGCTTTACGGCAACGTTGATGCAATTCAGTGGATTGATGAGATATTGGAGTGAATCCAAATGCATTAAAGAACCTGAAACGCAATTTGTTGATAGGATGCTATTACTTACCAACTGTCCACCGTGTGCCATGGTACATGGAAGCGGAAGCACGACCAACTGTGCAAATATGTGCAAATATCTACGTCCTTTTGACTGCAGCAAACTAAGGTCCAAACCTAGAGCGAAACCCTTCAACTCTTCTTGAACCTCAGTCTGGAGCTTGTCAGTTGCTCATGCAACGTCATGCTCGGGGGCCCACTGGTCCAGCCAACAATGCATTCCCCTCGCTGATTCATTGTCCTCTGCCACGAGATTTCACACACAATTCAAGCTCCTTTTCTGGACATTCTTGAATTCTTGATGCATCATCGTACTGTCCTTTGCCTCGAGACTTGCCAGTGCATGCTGCAAATCACGTGGTAAAGCATCCAAAACCTGAACAGGGCAAGTCAGTGTGATTGAACAAAGGAAACCACTTCAAGCACTTGTACAATACAGTGCGCAGCGGAAGCAGCCACAAAAGATTGAAAGTAGGGACATCTTAATTCTAGAGGATCTCTATACACTTCTACACATCCCACGTATCTTTCACAGCCAGCCTCCACAGGCTGGCTCTCGTTGTCCAAAAATGAAATCAGGAAACCTTGCATTCTTGCAAAGAACCCGGCCAGTTCACTTCGCACATCTTCACGCTATCCTGTGATGCAGTATCCGATGTGTTTATGATTCAACTATGTGCAAGGCGGTGCAAGAAATTTCGATGGAGGAGGTCGCGTTGAAATGTTGCAGCGCTGGCGTATTTGGCATCGCCTGCCGTTTCAAGACTTTGACTTAGAAAACAACGAAGTCACATCTACAACCTCGGAGAGCCATGCCTACAAGAGGATGACCCATGAAGGCCAAGTGGCTTCTTATCTGATGCCTTCTGCCTTGCACTGTCACCGGTGCTTTGAACCCAGGTCTTTACTCAACTCCAAATGTGTTGGCGTACCTGTCTGAATTGTAATTTCCACAAGAGTGTAGGTGACCTCAACTGATCTTGAATCAACTGCTTCAAATTATCTGTAGAGCATGCTGGGGGTCTTGCGCCCTGTTGTCCATCAACTAAATATGAAAGCACCTTTGCTTTACTTGGAAGTGCATTCACAGGATTTATTAACAAACACAAGTTGAAGGAGATAGCAAAGAACATGTCTGGAAGCAAGGCCTCCAGGAAACTGCGAGCTGGCTTGCCATACTGACAAATTCGGCTCGGTGCGGCATTTGCTTGGTCCCACAAAAGTGGAGCTGTGATCCTTGGACTAATGCCACACCCCTTGGACCAACGGTGCAAACCACATGTTCTCTTTGCAGTTGGAGCTCTCACAGTAGGATCGAGGCAGCCAACCGTGGCAAAGCGCGATGTAATGGCGGCGAACCTGCAGGGTCAACTAGCGAACCCTGAAGTTCCAAGTTCGCCTTGCCCCACCTTGCCCAAGTTCATTTGCAGGATAAGATCATAATAGGCAGCGTACCTAGTTTTTCCTATGACTGCTTTGTTTTCAATGACAAACACCTTTCAGGTTGCTCACGATCTGGCCGCCAGGACGAGACCAGAATTGGGCACGTCCAGCCGGTGCATCCTCTGGGTCAAGTAATGAGTTCCCGGAGTGCGCGTGCTTGCACACACAAATTACAAACACACTGGAAACATCATTCGGAAGGAGAGCGCTGTATTGCGTCTGAGCTCTTCAAGCTGGAATTTGCTGGCCAACCATGTTGTGGACGACAGTCCTGGAAAACCTGGAACTTACATATATAAGTACACATGTCGACAATTGTCCATATGTATCTATGTATGTATGCATGTATGTATGTATGTATGTGTATGTATGTATGTATGTACTTATTTTTTGTTTTCTATGCCAATAAATGCGAACCTTTGCCTGTTTCCAAAAGGGCTGCGCAGTGGTGAGAAAGCAACAATGGTACTGTACAATCACACCTATGCGCAATACTGCAAATTCTACACACTCCTTCTCGGTAGCGCGAGCGCCCATAAGCTCTTTTAGCTCACTCTGCCACTATCATAGGTCTGTTCTACCCCTTTTCTCTGAGGAACGTGGTTCCTTGAGGCCTTCTTCTTGAATTTTTTTCTTCTAACATCGTTTGGAATCTATGTATCTCATAGTCGAGCATATCTACTTGTTGAAACTGTCCTCTTCCTTCTAATACCCAGCGTCTTGTGTTCAAGCTGTTGATCTTCACCTCAAGTCGACCACGTAATGCATCTGTCTGTTCTTCTTCGTACTCCATAGTGTTCTCATTTTCTGCATTTCCTGCCCTTCTGAAGGAACTGCCCTTTGAGTCGCTGCCTGTAACATCAGAGATACTGTCCTCTTGCCGATCTCAAGTCTTCTAAGCTCCTTCATAGCTTTGTCTGTGTAGAGAATCTGGCTCTTGTACTTCTACAAAACCTCCATTGAGAATCAATCCACAATGAATTCTCCTGGTTATAGCTTATGTGATTTTCATAGATTTTCTGCTTGGTGTTCATCTTTTTCTTTCCTGTCGATGATCTCGCATTCATTCATCTTTCCACAATGGAAATTTCTTTGCGCTTCCACTGTCCCTTCCACATACTTCCATAGTCTCCACATTGCAGAGGTCATTACTGCAAAACCACAGGTAATGATCGTGAAGACTGTGGTTGTCCAGTTTCTAGTGGAGTCTTCTACTCCCAACCTGCGCTGGCCAATCTCTTTCAAAGATGTAGTAGTTAGCAGCTTCTGTAATCATTGGTTGCAAGCCCTCCAGAGTCACGATTCTGACTCATCTTGGCAGTTTTGTTGATCTTGCCTGCAAAGTCCTTTTCTCTTCATACACCTTTCTCTCAAGCTCATCCACTCTTGTTTGCTTTTCATTGCGCCAATAACAAAAAAGGTTCATCGGAAATCTGATTCTCTGTCCTCCAAGTGGCTTGGTATTGATGTCTACCATGTTGCTGTCTGTTGGTACTTGTATCATATTGAAGTCTCTTCGGTTGAATCCACGGTAACTTTCCATCTATAAAATTTTGTCTCACTTTTCCAACTCTTCTCTTCATCACAAGCTGGCGCGCGCTCGAAGAATCTGTGAAGATGTAATGGTCCACCTTTGCCCCAAGCGCAAACTCAAGAACTGAACGAATGTATATACCTTCTGAAGCTGAGGAAACTCTTGCGCGCAACTCTGCCTCACACGAAGATAAGCTAATAATCTTCTGTGTTCTGCTGCTGTTGAACAATGGACAACTGTTCAATGCATGAAAGCCTCCTGATGTTGACTTTCTATATGGCTTTTTGTTTCCTTCCGCTCCGGTCTGAGTCTGAAAATGTCTCTAAGCAGCAATAGTGATCACCTGTCTTCACATAGCCTTCTCCTGCCTGTGGAAATTCAACTTCTAGACGATTACTAGACGATAGTCCATAACCTTCTTCAAGTATCATAGAAATTTCTTCAAGTGATGATAGGACATAGTTGTTGGATTTGACATTCTTGAAGCCAGTTCCTTGACAGTAAATGGCACATCGTACCTTTCTTGACAAAGATTTGACAAAGATAGATACCTGCACCAACAATGCTTCTGAATAGGCTGATCTTTTCTTGCTCATTCAGGATCTCTGACTTCTTCCATCTGAATTAAGTTGTCTGAAGGTATTTGTTGAAGTTTGATCTTTCCAACTTGTTCTTCATACGCCTTCAGCACCTGTTGGATGTAGTTACCTGGTTGGATCACTGGTCCATCTTTCTCAAGTTTGCACTTTCTCCGCAGGAAATTGAATTCGTCGCCCAGACCTTCTCAATCTCGCTGGTGTCAAACCTGTCTTGAATCTTTAGAAGAAAGATTTCGTTGATATACTTTGAACAATCTGTGAAAATCAAGTCACCCACATGAAATCAAAATGATACTCTTCTCGTTTCTTCCTAGGCATGGACACTCAGCACTGAACTTGTAATCGAGTTCCTCGGTGAGGTACCGTGTGAAGACGTCGAACCATGCCTTTGCTCCAACTCTCTGTCCAGGTAAGTTCCTTTTCACCAAGGATACTTCTCCTCTCAAATTCACTTTCAAATCCTTCTCTTGTGGAACTTGCAAGAACGCGTCTTTCACATCTAGACAACCCAGTACTTGAGAGGGTAAAAGTTCAGTACATGACCTGAAGTCGCGGGTGAGAAAATGTCACCTCCCTTTCCTTCAGCGAAAGCTATTTCTCGTGCGACTCGTCTTGATCTTCTCTTCCACCTCTTGCTTGTATTTCCATCTCCATGATGATAAGGCTTCTTTCTCCAATCATACACACTCCGTGTAGTCAGGAAACTGATACCTTCTGTGCTGCCTTCTGGTTTCTCTAGCCCTTGCATCTTTTCACTTCTTTTCTCTTCAGCTTCATCAGCTACACCATCTATCCATTCTTCTGGATCTTCTTCTGGTTCATGTTCTCCATCACGCTGCAAGTTCTTCCCCTTCGCTTTCTTCTGATCCACCTTCTTTCCAGTCTTCTTCATCAAATTCTTCTGCAACTGGGGATAACTCTTCATCTACATGATAGAGGTCTTCTCCTGCCACCTTTCCTTTACCAAGTTGACCTTAGCCTTCTTGCCAGAATCTTCTGATGGCCTGAATTTCTTCATAGGACTTTCTTCCTCGAGCAATTCAAGTGCTTCCCTTGGTCTCGAAGGCGCGGATGGTAACCCCCGTGAAGATAGCGTAGGGGTAACTGGATTAGGTTGACCGCTTTCACCCCCTCCAGTGTCTTCTCATCTGCAGAGAGAACTTTCTGCTTCTTGCTTGGGGGTTCTTCTCCACATGGCTTCCATACTTCACCTCCATCTCTTTTGCGTGCCTTTGCCGGAATCTCCAGCGGGCTGGAACTGGTATTGGCCCTAGGAATAGAGGTTGCTCTTTCTCTGAATCACTTCCTCCTTCAAGAGCTTTTGCCATGACAGCTTCTGCATCTTCATCTCTGAATTTCAACATCACACGCTCTTGAGGAATATCTGCGCTAATGGCAATGCTTCTGCTGGCTCTTCTCTTGGTGGCAATAATTCTGCCTCCAAAGTTTGTCCGGCGCTCCCATGAAAAGGCATTGAAGCTTTTGTAAATTGCCAGGCGCTTGGACCAATCTTGATCTGTTCTTCTGACGCATTTGCTCAGCGCTACTTGCACATCATCTGTCAAGACATAAGTATCTTGGCTTTCCACTTTCTCCGAGACTAACCATAGACGCCGTCGAGCTTCTCCTTTGTTGAGGCTTCTGATGTAGCCGTCCTCGGCTGAAAGCCCTTTGTAACTCTTACTGTACACGAGCTCACGTGGAGCGGCACCTTTGACTGGTTGAAATCGATTCAACACCCAACTGGCATGTCTTGCTGCCCAGTTCCAAAGTGCATGATCTGATCCTATCTTGATACCAAGCTTCGATTGCAAACCTTTAATGAAACTTCCTGCAAGCTTCCTCACCCTGTCAACCGTGTTCAGAATTGCCCCCAACTCAAAGTAGAGGGTCCAGATAGATACCCTTCTCCAGGTCACCCTTGTTTACAGGAGAACAAACATCACATTGAATCACTTTTGAATCATTTAAAACCCTTTTTGAAGCTTATAAAATCTTATTGGTGCACTTTGTTGCCTTAAAAGTGCGAAAAAGTGATTTAAAATGATTTGAAAATGCAAAGAGTGTATTTGTCACTTTTGTTTCTGAACGTGATGTTCATTAAAAAGCTGGCAAGTAATGCTTTAACTTACTGTGTTTGAAAGTCAGCATTTCATTGTCATCCTCATTGTGTTAAGAATGTTTTTTAGGAAAGAGGAACAGGAAGAGGAAGAGGAAAAGGAACTGTAAAACAATAAAAAGGAAAAGGGCGAGAAAGAGGAACAGGAAACAACAAAATGGTTTGATTTGATTTGTTGATTATCTATTCTACTGCTTTTCTGTGGTTTTACAAAATTTTGTAACCTGATCAAATCTGATCAAACCTGATCAAATTTGATCAAATCTGATCAAATTTGATCAAATCTGATCAAAACCATGGTCTTGATCAAACTTGAACAAATGTGATGGGATTGCATTTTTGCAAACACCTTAATTTCCCGAATTAAAAAAGTTTTGTCACAGTTTTAGTCATTAGATTGTGTTTCCTCAACTCTCCTCGCCAAAGAATTGCCCACAGTTTTAGTCATTAGATGTTGTTTCCTCAACTCTCCTCACCAAAAAGTTTTGTCCACAGCTTTATATAAGCATTAAATGTTGGTTCCTTTCTCCACCCAATATTTTGTCCACAGTTTTAGTCATTAACTTTTTTCCCTTAACCTCCCTCACCAAGTTTTATTGCACACGGCTTTAGTCATTAGAAGTTGCTTCTTTAATTTCCCTGGAAAGGGAAAGGAAGAGGAAAAGGAAGAGGAAACGAAAAAGGAAGAGGAACAGGAAAAGGAAGAGGAAAAGGGGAAAAAAACGGAAAAGGAAAAAGACAAGAAAAGAGGAAAAGCAAGAGGAAGAGAAACGGTAAAAAAAGGGAAAAGAAAAGGAAGAGGAAAAGGAAGGGCGCAAGGAAAAGGAAAAGGGAAAACACCACATATTTTTTGGGCGAAGGAAAGTAA